ATATCACTGCAGTATTTTGTAATCATTCAACTATCCACAACTGGATGGAATGGAAAGAGTAGCAGTATTTGCAAAACCTTAATACAGTAGACCCGCATTATTTCACAGTTCACTATTTTGCTTTCCTTATTTTGCTGCTTTTGCAGTACCCGAAATTACTCCCAATTTTTTGCTGTTGCGCTGTCAAACTCCTTTATTTCATGGTGTAAGCCCACACACACTCTTTCTCTCAGGACACAGTCAAAGCTGGCTATGTTTACAGTGTACATTACAGGGTATTTTGTATTGTGACTGGCTTTTTTGTTATATCCTACAGTACTATGATCAAAAAGAAACAGGAAAGTAAAATAGATGCTGCTGCATCTGGTGGTGTTAAGAAGAAAAGGCATGCTATAATTTTGATGAGAAAGTTAAATATACCCCTTCAAAATCCTGAGAGCTGCCTTGCTACCACCAAGCAATAATTTCACTTCTCACCTGTAACTATTCCTCAAGTCCTGTTTACAAGAGGATACAATAATTTAAGGTAAGAAAATGAGAAATTATCTGAATATTGTAACTGTAGTGCTGGCAGGAATCATTCAAGAATCAGAATTAGCATGTGATGTTGGAAAGAAATCACACTGCTACCACACCAAAAATACCATAAGTTTAATGTTATTAATTGAGATAATGTTACTAAGGGGAATTTTTATGGCATATTTCTAACATAAATAATCATGTACTTCAATTCAGACATAACTTCAAACAAAGTACAGTACCAGGTATTTTAAATTTGCTATTTGATTGAAAAAATAAGAGTGATAACAATTCTTTACTAGTTATCCTCACTGCCTCGGGTCAGCTCTGAAACATTGAGAATTAGTGCAGATGAAGCATTTTGAAAAATTTTCTTCAACAAAACAAATTATAATATGAAAATGTCAGAAATTATGCTGAACATTGAGATTTACCTTGAATAAATTAGTTACTCTTAAAAAGTAAAAAGGAGAACTTTAGAAATGATGTGAAACAAAATCTTGGGCTCTATTTATATACTGTACACAGCTTGTTCACCCTTTTCAAAATACCTTAACACATCCATTTTCACACCTAAACTAACATATATTTTTTGGGGGGTGGGGGGCTGCTGATCCGTATCCTATATATCTTATTGAAATGCATAGAATATGTTATCACGATTTCCTATTTCCAAGTAATTTTGAGTTTTCTTGTGGTATATCAAGGGTCTTGTAGTGATGGGTTGTCAGACCACAGCTTACATCTCAGAAACAGTCCTCTTGACCCGACATTAGGGAGGTCAAGTGTAGGGTAACTCACACGGCTGACCAAGGGTTATAAATCAGCCAGGCTCCCCTCCCATGTCACACATGTAAGGGGGCACCGGCCGGCTCTCTCCCAATATACACACGGCCCCACCTGATGACTTCTCCAGAAGATACAACTTATAGTCTCTGAAAAAGTCCAGACCTGACCTCACATTGGCCAGGTCAAATGTAAGGAGACCCTCCCCCCCCCGACCAGCTCAACCTGACGGCTCGCCGCCCAATATATAGGATGCCCTAGTCCTCCCTCAGAGAGAGACGAGAGAGATACCCGGAGACATAGACAGAGAGTCAGAGAGAGACAGTGTGTCTTGTAAGGAGGAAGGGCCAGCTACTACACCACCGAGTCCTGCTCGAGAGAAGTCAGGGGCCGGAGGCAAGCCTCCTCCAGTCGCCTCCGGTCAGGACCGAGACTTTCCTCCGGCGCCCAGCTAAGCAGTCTCCCATAGAGACAACCCAGGACTACCTGCTAGGCCTCCCCTAGGTCACGTGAGTGTTTGTCAGAGCTTTCCGTGGGATGAGTTACTTACGTGGGAAGTGTATTCATTTCATGTTCGTGTCCGAGAATCAGAGTGTCTAGTAACGTAATATGATGTCTTAGTAACGTAAATATAATGTCCTAGTAACTTCAATAGAAGGTGTTATTAATGTGTCCATGTCATGTTCGTAATTAATAGAGAGTTGTAACAAAGCGGTGTTTGAGAAGTCGCCCTTAAGACGTAATAGAAGTGTATTGACGTATAAGATACGATAAGTGTAAATAACTATCACGGCCACGCTACCAAAATCTTCCTCTCTATTACTCTCTTACTAAATATTCAACCTATATATATAAATATTCTTCTTGCAAGATTCGTCTTGTTATAGGTGACAGCGAACTATATACGTTAATCCACGCCTTCCTCGCTTAGTTATTATAATGGTAGCAGCGAACTTAACGTAAACTCACGCCTGCCCTCGGTTAGCCATAACACCTGGCTCGTCTCATCCTTCATTTGATTCAGTCTAAGTATTGTCTACAATTGTGTAATAAGTAATTCCTGTGTCGTAGCGTGAAAAGTGTCCTAGTGTGTCACCATTACAGCTCAAGTAAATGTCTCTCGTCGTGGTATGCGCGAATTTTTTCTAGAAATATGTTCAGTGCTTAACGTGATTTCTCAGTGTCCCCCGCGATCTGTGACATTCTCAGTAGCCCAAGTGCAGTTTGATTGTTGGTCAGTGTTGAACGTAGAAATTGTTTCAGTTATGAAAGCGGTGTCTGTACTAACTGTTATAACTTAACATGTTTTTTAACCTACATCCTCCTCCCTGTCCTAATCCTCACCTCACCCTCATTACCCTTCCTCCCATCCCTGCCCCGCCCTGCCCCGTAATGTACTGGCTGGCATCTCCACTTGTCCCTGCTCCTGCGTCCAAGGTCACCACTCCTCCCAGCTCGCTCCCTCCTCCGCCTCCTCACCGTCACTACTGCCGACAACAAACACAAATGTTTTGTGAATAACTGCACCTCCACTTCCTATGTACAGTACTGAACTGTACTGTGCTGTGCATTTTTACAAACAATAAACATGGCAAGAAAAGCTATTAAAAAAAAGAGATAAAAATTTCGCTTTACTGTACATTACCTATCCTCGGCGACAGGACGGGGGTCATCGGGCTCATCGTCACTCAATTCTATAACGGGTGGTGAAGTGGGGGCGACGGTGAATTCAGCTGCTTCCTCACTGCCACCAGTGATTGATGGTGTTAAATCTCTCCTTCGGTGATCAAAGAACATGGTGATGGGGAGTTGTCGTCTCTTTCTTTTCATTTCTTCCATGATGTTTTTGTATGGAGCAAAAACGTCTTCCATCCCTCGCATGAATTTCAGGGCAATCACCATGGAGGGGTCCATACTATAGGCCAGGTTTTTCAGTGCCTCAATATTCCTGGTCATCTCCCCCAACTTCTCCAATGTTATTTCTTGGTGCTCTTCCTCTTCCTCATCCTCTTTCCCTTTCGCTTCCTCTTCATTGCCTGAGTCTACTAACTCCTGTAGATCCTCCTCAGTCAGCTCACTGTCGTGCTCTTGAATTAGCTCCCTAATCTCGTCCTCTGCCATGTCCTGGAAGCCTTCAGCAGCCACTTTCCTTGACAGTGCCAGGGTTTTTCTGAATATTTTCATTAAAATCCATCCAAATCATTTTCCTTGTCATCGTCTTAAGCACCAAACAGCTCCTCCCAGTCTTCTCCTTGAACAGGGCTAGAGGGTACGTGTTTTTCGAATCGTTTTCAATTAAAAAAATGTTACAGCACATGTATATTTTACCCAAACTGTGCCTGAATGAATATATTCTCAGAAATAAATAGTAGTTTTGCTGAAACGTGATGTATTTCAATGTAAAATAGGATAAAATACATGACGAAAACAAAAGACTTTACCTAACCTTCCAATGTTCAAGAGATGTTACTCGTTTTTTTAATAGTTTTCGGTTAAAATACTGTTATATTACAATGATATTCTATTCATACTGTGCTTGATATACTACATTCACGGAAATGTAATATTTTTGCTGAAATGACGTACGTATTACAGTGGAAAGTGGGATAAAATCGTGACGAAAACAATGACTCGCTTTCTTTCGTTCAAAAGATGTTACCGTAATCGCTTTTCGAATGGTGTTCAGTTAAAAATGTTGCATCACAAGTGAATTAGGATAATATTATTGTAATACAACAGTTTTTTAACTGAAAACCATTCGAAAAGCGATTACGGTAACATCTTTTGAACGAAAGAAAGCGAGTCATTGCTTTCGTCACTTTCCACTGTAATACGTACGTCATTTCAGCAAAATATTACATTTCCATCTTCTCAGAAATAAATAGTAGTTTTGCTGAAACGTAATGCATTTCAATGTAAATTAGGATAAACTACATGAAAACAAAAGACTTTACCTAACCTTCCGATGTTCAAGATATGTTACTCGTTTTTTTTAGTAGTTTTCGGTTAAAATACTCTTATATTAGTGATATTCTATTCATACTGTGCTTGATATAATACATTCACGGAAATGTAATATTTTTGCAACTACAATGCTGGTGTCAACACAAGCGTGGTTACAGCGAGACTGACTGACTGAGTGAGGGAGAGCTATGTGTGTGTGTGTGAGGTTGCGGGAGCGGGCGGTGTCCCGTGAGAGGTACCGCGCCCGAGTTGAATGGTGCGCGATTTGAATGTACTTCAATTACTTCAATGTACCGAATATTCCTAGGCGGGGCAATCTGCGTATTTGCAAATCCGTGTATGCTAAACCCGCGTATGTTAAGGGCCGACTGTGTATATATATATATATATATATATATATATATATATATATATATATATATATATATATATATATATATATATATATATATATATATATATATATATATATATATATATATATATATATATATATATATATATATATATATACATATATATATATATATATATATATATATATATATATATATATATATATATATATATATATATATATATATATACATATATACATATATACATACATACATATATACATACATACATGCATGCATGCATGTATCCTAAATTGCATTACTATGAAGTTTGTTATGCAGGTACTGTACTCATTATCTACATGGTAACATTTCCTAAAATTTCTGTTGCAGAATTTGACATTCACCAAAATTGCTCGAGCTATCACAACTGTGGATTGCCAGCCCACCTTTGATGGAGGTGTTTTAATTAACATTCTTGGGCAACTTAAGGTGAGACTTGATTAATAAAATTAACTTGTTCGTTCCAGTACTGTATTATGACTACATTATTGAAATATTCTAATGGTAAACAGGATAAGAATTCCTTTTCTGGAAAGTTTTGGAATTTTCTACTGTACAAATCATGGAAATGTGATATGTTCAAAAATGAAGAATTAAGCATCTTGAATGAGTCCACATACCTTTTAGTGCAGATTTTGTAGTGTAGTTGACATTTTATTTTCTTCAAGTGCAGTAGAATGTTGGAATCTATGCTTATAAAACCAAAAAGTTCTAAAACTGTTGATGCAGCACATTCAAGATTCCTGCCCACATGGCAGGATTGGTATGCTGAAATCTTTTTCTTTCTATTTTATTTTATTTTTTCTTTACCTTTTAATATAGTTTCCAATCTCTGCTTCCCACTGTTTTTATTGGCCTTGAAACCCTAGCTATGTTGGGATGTAACATAAGCTTGGGCTATTTGTGAATTGGTTCTGCATAAACTGGTAGCTTTGAGGGTTTCGAGAGCCATCCAAAGGGGGAGGTTGAGGTTCTCTTCCTCAACATGTATATCTGCATAGTAGGGATCAAGATGCTCAGACATGATTGAATCTCGGCCCCACCTTTAGAAGTCTCAGCCTGTGATAAATATAGGAGTTTGGGATGTAAGAGGCGTGAATGTGATATGTTAAATAAGAAAGTAGGGTTGTGAGGTTTTTACTTGGAATTAGGTGAATGGTTAGAGAGGTGGGTGAAGGATTGTAACAATGAAAGAATGGTGTGAAAGAATGTTTAGATGGAAGTTTGTAAATTATTGAAAATCATTCTTAGATTGAAATGGGTTGTTAGTTATATGTGTTATTAGTTCATTCTTAATTCAGAATGGGTTGAGCTAGTGATGTGTGTGATTTTTATTATACCCCATGTAATAATAGGAAGGATGAAATGAACAGTTTTTGGAGGGCATTAGATGAAGAAGTATAGGTGCTCATCCATAAAACCAAAATCCTTGGAACCAAAGGTTTTTCTGATTTTAGGATGAAAGGCCAAGCACTGACTGTACAAGCATATCTCTGAAAAAGAAACTTCTTAAAATAATTATCTCCCCTATATTTTGCTTCAAAGGAAACAAGCATCATTTATTGGGAAACTACTGTATATGTATATGATACCTTTATTATTTTATTGACTGGCATGCACTACTGCACAAATTAAGACATTATGCCTAAAAATACATCAAAACAAACCCAAATGCCTCATTTTAGGGGACAGGATATATTGTTCTGCATACCTTACATAATACAGAACTGTCATTTGGTCACTGGTTGGTTTGTGGCTGTGTCAAGTAGCAAGAAATCAGCTTTGTATAATATTTTAATGGCTGATTATAAACCACAGTAAAAAATAAGACACTCAAAAAAATGTTTAGTGAGTTCATCCTGCAGTAAATGTTGATGGGGGAGACAGCCAGCTGATTATTTCTTGAAAATGTTATTCATTGTTGTTTGATGAATGTGCTTTGTCATCTCTTTTATAACAGTTCTTGAATCTTATAGCTACACCGACATTACCTATCCTTCATTGACAAAGCTCTTTTGTTCTAATCCCTGAGTAAACTAATCTGTAAGGGTGATACACTGATCTATGGACACTCATTCCTCTATATTCCCATCATCTTCATCACATGCCTTTGTTTACACCTCTGCTGGCTTCATCACTATGTTTATTATTTCTGTGTCTGAGTTAAAGCAACACTGGAACATCATTGTCTATGTTCCATCAGTCTTTCACGCCTTCTTTAAACACTGGAACATCATTGTCTATGTTCCATCAGTCTTTCATGCCTTCTTCATCCTATTTCTTGGCTTCATTTTATGACAATATTGGAATGTACAGCAAAAACTGTATCCTGCTACTCCTGGCATGGCCGAAGAACTATTTGGGAGGTGGGAGCTTTCAATCTCAAATTAAATTTTTTTTTTTTAGAAAAACAATTGAGATAAACGGTTTCTTGAATAGTGGTTTTGTGGTTGGATACCTGTATTTGTTATTGTAAAGAAGGTTAGTGCTCATAGAGATTTTGGTTTCGAAGAGAAAAGAGAAGTAGGTTCAGTACAGTATAGGTACAATAGAACTAGAAATTAAGAGATAATAGGTAAGATAGTGAGAAAGACAGTGCGAGAGAGAAAGAAAGGCAGGTGGTAAAGTATTTTAAAAGATTTAAATCATGAAATATGGATGGCAAGGTAAAGGAAATGATTAAAGGTGTGTTAGAAATCATGGTGGAATGGATATGAAAATTATTTTGCTGTCTGGACAGACAGTGTAAGAGTGTGTGTTAGTATCTGAAAAGAATTAGTAACTGTGGTTGCCACGTGTTAACCCTAAAAACACCACTACAATGTGAGATGAAATATCTCTTAATATTTTTTTTTTTTTTTTAAGTGACAACCTCCCTATGTAGAATGCAGTTTTTAATAAAGTAAACCCTTGCTATTCGTGCAGGTTAGATTCCAAGGAATGACGCTAATTGGCAAAACCGCGAATAGCAACTTATACTATGTTAGTGCACTATTGTTTACCTATAATGTGTATGGGAAACGAAAGTCACCAGTATTACTCTCCATCATATGTGGAAGCTTGGAGCTTGATAAAGTGTAACGTTCAATAGGATAAAATCTAGTTACTGAAGTATAGGGAGATCATCAAGATAACTGTTTGAATTGAATTGAATTAAAACAGTTTATTTAGCCAGAAAAACACAGATACAGACTGGTTAATAATAACAATATTAACTAGGCTGAGCCTGAGTTCTCCTGTAGGCACCTGATATATACTATACAGTGGTCCCTCGGTTAACGAGTTACCTTCCATAAGATTCTTAACTTCGGTTAACGAGCAGTCCCTCGATTAATGAGTTTCTTACGAGCCGACCTGAAATTGTTTTCGCTTGCATTTGGCGGTCCACCAGCTATAGTATTACTCCGCCAATACAGTAATCGGTTCTAGGGCTTAAATTCCTTACCATTTTAGCAAATATCAAGAAATTTATACTATTCAATAATTTTAAAAGTTTAATATTAAATTTTTTAGTCATTTTAACAATTATTGAACATTATTGAAGGTAATGAAACTAGTTTTATGCGCGCCATCCAGCCTCTCAACACACCATACAGGCGTCAGTCTTTGTGTCTTCAGTGGAGGTAACATCTTGCTTGAGACTCTCTTCAACTATAAATGCTTTTTTTCTGTGTTTGCAAGCAAATTATTGGTCATTTTGAAATTTATTTTAAATATTGACAATATATAATGCAGTGCAGTGTTGATTTAAAGAAAATAATTTTGACTTACACCAAGAGAACTAAAATTTTATGGGTGAAATGGCAGCATGGGGTGACTTCTCTTCCACCCCAATGCCTTTTCTTCTCCCTTCTCCTCCACCCCCATTCTAATTTCCATCATCATCATCATCCAGGAGCCTTCTACATACACACCTCAAAGTAAGTGCACTTTTTTACCTTTTTTGTTGAATTTAGGCAATTTTCGGTGAGCTGGAACCAATTACCCAAAACCCATTGAAACAATGGTTTCGGTTAACGAGCAACCTTCTAGAACGGATTTTGCTCGTTAACCGAGGGACCACTGTACATTTATCTCAAGGAAGTATTATGTGACATTTAGTATCACCTGGAATAGTACACATAGCATGGTGGTAATAAGAACATCTCAGAATGTTACTACAGTTGTCACTTCAATATTTATTTTATTTATTTATTTATTTTTTTAGTTTTTATTTAGTTTTTTTTTTTACATTTATATTATAAGTATTATACACAAGTTACAGTGGAATTGAAAAACATAAAATAATGGGGAAGCAGTACAAGATGGGTTGTACAGTATTAAGGTTAAACAAGAGGACAGAGCTGTCAGGATTGTCTAGTTGGCAAATATATTTATTGCAATGGTAATTTCTTATCTATTTACATGATAATTTCCGATAAAACGGTTTTGATGGTACAATAAGAGCAGGTGTATATATATATATATATATATATATATATATATATATATATATATATATATATATATATATATATATATATATATATATATATATATATATATATATATATATATATATATATATATATACAGTGGGGTATGCTATAACGAACGGATCCTACTACGAATATTCCTATAACGAACGGTTTTACCTATAAAATTGAGAATGCTATAACGAACGCAACTCCTACAACGAACGCGGATGAATACGGGACTATTTCGCCTGGCGCATGAATATTGTTGTACCGCGACCCACAACAAGAGCGTCAGGCGCCATCTTTGTCTCATTGTGTAGCCAGTGCACCACTGTTATTGTTGAAATTTCGTCTTTTGATGTGGAAATTCACGTTATTTGTATAACTATTTTGTTATACAAGTATACAATTGTAACAATGAGTCGTCCAAAGCGAGTGAGAAAGCTAATAACCCTTGAAACTAAGAAAGAAATTGTAAAGAAACGTGAGAATGGAAGAAGCATTGCGAAACTTAGTGATGAATATGGGATGGCTAAATCGGCTACAGTTGTACCCCACTTAACGCGGTCAATAGAACCCAGAGGGTCCCGTGTTAAGTGAAATCCGCGTTAAGTGAACAACAGAACATATGGGATTAATTCCAATAGAAACCGGCCCGACCCCCAAACTCCACTTTTTGAAGGCACATACCTATGTTGTAGTAAAAATAACATCTTAATTTTATGATGGTACATGCACACAATTAATACTTAAGAGAAATAGAGAAATACAGTCGCCAAGTTAATGTCCATTCAAATAATGGACTCGACTCCCTCCCCCTCTCACACTACACTGCCGGCTCTTCCCTCTCTGAGAAATTTTTGGGGGAAAACCACTAAATTTTAATAAATAATACCTCAAACTAAAGTTAGGATAATACAATTGACATTGCTGGATTCCTTGTAAGACCAGGAATATTTTGAATATAAATGT